ATAGAATGGAACATATATTGAGGAGATATATATACACATATGCATCCGAAGAAGTGGGCTGTAGTCCACGAAAGCTTATGCTCTAATAAATTTGTTAGTCTCTAAGGTGCCACAAGTCCTCCTGTTCTTCTTTTCACTGTTTTGGGGATTCTAAAACTGTCCCTTTTTTAAAAAAAATCCAGCACTTCATTACATGAACTCCAGTTTTTTTGTTTTTGTTTTGTTTTTGTTTTTGTTTTTTTTAAAAGCCTTAAATATCTCCCGTACGTGAGAAGTCAAGTAAAGGTGCTGATCTATGAACAGCATTTAAGACTTTTTTCCCCCTCTTCAAGGAAGATGAAATAATTGTTTTTAAAATATTCTGATACAGTCATTATTGTAACATTTAAGTATTGTAAAACTAAAACTTGTAAATTTCAAGAAAAAGACATTTTATGTGACCTCCTGAAAACCAATGTGTGGGTTCCCCCTACTGGGTGCAGCATCAATTAATGTAATGAACACAGTTGTTCTAGTTAAGCATATACAGTACCTGCTGACATCAGTGATGCTGAAGCAGCCAGAAGTAATGAAAAGCAGCTATATTGGCCTCTCCTCCTTTAGAAATGCAACATGGGTAGTCTTGTAAGAAATTACAAAGAATAGAGAATTAAGAACGAATGTTAAGAAGGATCTTAAACTGTAGCTGTTTATGCATAGTTAGTATTCTGCTTTACATTTTCAGTTCCTTACACTATCCATTTTTTTAAGCACTTAAATAGTGTTGGTAATGGCATATACTTTTCAGTCAGTGTTAAAATTATCTATCTATGATTTGGGTACAGCATTTAATATGTTACTAACCCACTAACTAGATAAAAATTTCTTTCAGTAATGCAATCAACCTTTTAAGCAATATTCCAGTTTCTTGTTTGGATGTTCTCATTAGTCCATCAACCCAAGAAGAAACAGTTTTGAAATATAATGGTATGAATATGGATGCCATTCAAGTGTTGCTGGATTTCATGGAGAAAAGAATAGACAAGGTACGTGTGACACTGAAGGACTTCACAAAAGGAATGCCTCTTAGTAAGAGTAGAAATGAGCTTGAATCAGAACTCCAGATCCATACACCTTCCTCCCCTACTCCAGAACTTTAAAACGTCAAGGGGTGGGATGTGAAGTTCAGTAATTTTGCAGGTCAGACTTCATTCTGGAATTTGAAAGTTCATGTGATAACTATATTAATGTAGAATTCTTCATAAATTTATGAAAAATGTCAAGAGGCATGTGATATATGAAAGTAAAACATGTCTCTCATTACACCAATATTAAAATAACAAGGAAAAGCAAAGCTTAAGAAGAGAATATCCCATTCAATCATACAGAATTTATTTACAGATGAGAAAACCATACTGATTTCCAACCCAGTTTCTAATGTGGTGATGATTCTGGATCCTTTGAACACAGTAGAGTTTAAAACATGGTTGTGGTTATAAAAAGTGACTACTGTGTGTGGGCAGTAGATGGGAACATTTTGCCTCTTGAGGCTGAGATGTCTTATTTTACTGACAAAACTTTTTATTTCTGTTAGCACTGCAGAGAATACCATCTATGTATAGAAAAGCAAGGTCAGCAAAACTTGACCAGGGCCGAGTTCAGCAGATAATTTAAATGTATGCTTAAAGTTCTGATCCAGTGCTCACTGGTTTTTGAATTAAGCCTAAATGCTTTGCTGAACAAAATGTGTTGAAGTAAAGTGAATCCAAAACACAAAGAAAATTGAAGGCTGAAACTTCACCATTAAATTGTGCATTGCACATAATGTTCAAAATACAAAGCAGTTGTAAATATTTTTATGACCTCCAAGGGAACTAGGTTGTCTTAAAAGCCAATTTTAGTCTGAACATTTGCAGTTTATGTAACAGTCCCTTTTGAATTACTGAATGGAGCATCTGAAATTATGGATTTCGGGGAGAATTTTGGTAGTGCGTTTACATAATTGTTTCTTCAATTGTGTGTAGTAGTGTATTTTCATGATGAGATTTTCTGTGCAAAGATTTAATTTAGAGAGAAACTTTATGTAAGATTATTATAAACCCTTGAAGGAAAAGATTTTAATGAAAATGCTGTCCCTGCAGCGAATGGTGAAACTAGCAACAGTTTATATATTGATGATTTTTAAGAATTTTTGATTATACTGAGAAGGAAAAATCTTTTTGTCATTGCGAACATAAGAATTATTCTTTTCCACTTGACTGTATACAATAAATAATTAATGTGGCTAATTTAGTAAAGTTTCAAGCAAACCACACCCATACTGAATGCATATAATATATAAAATATAATCTTGTCTGACTCTTGTAATTCAGCTGGTGTTTGGGTTGTTTTTATAATTCCACTTTAGGGAAGCAGCTACAGAGAGGGTCTGACTCCAGTTCTCAGTTTACTAACAGAATGTTGCCGAGCTCATCGGAACATCAGGAAGTTTATCAAAGCTCAGGTAAGATTCAGATATAAATTTAGAAGTCTGAAAATAAAACATGCTGCAAAATCTTTCGGGCTTCTGCAGCACAGAGAACATTGATGCCTGAATATAAAACAACTTGTATTTTAACATTTCTCTTAAAGTTGTCTATATCCATAAGCAACTGCAAGATCTGTTGCCTTCTGTCAGCTCAATGACAAAAACATTGATCTACATTAAGTGTTTTCAGTGCAATGTCATAATTTGATTTCAATATAATATAAAGGGAATGAACATTAATGTCACCTTATAAATGCAGGATAATGACCTTAAATCATTGTATCAGCAAATAAAAATCCAACAATAAAATATTTGACAGACTGAAGAACTTTAAATTCTCCTTCAAATTAAAAATACAAAATGTAAGACCTGGGATGTAACCTCAAGGTACCTCTATAATGATAAAATATACAGAGGGGGACTGGACAAATTGTTTCAATTACAAGAAGATGCCTGGGTCCTTGGCTTAATTCGATTGCATGGGCCCCCTTCCATGGCTTATGCCACAAAGCCTTCAATTCAGCAACATTATGGCGGAGTCTGAGGCTGTAGTGTATGAGATTAGAGGACTTTTTCCTATAAGTCTATGAGACTTGTGCGCCTAAATCCATTAGTCACTTCTGAAAATTTGCCCCATAATTAATAAAATAGCACTACAACTGTATGGAAGCTAGTCAGTCCATCAGTGTTTTGGTGCCCTTCAGCTAAGCTTTAGTCATAAATTACAATACATCAGCAGAAATGAATCCATGGTGTTGGAGCTTTATGACTTAACTGCTGTGCGTAAATTGTATTCCCACGGTGAAATTCATCCCTATGCAGAGGGCTAGCTCAAGGCTTGGGCACCATTTAAACCCTTAAAATAGGTCTTAAGTGGAGCATGAGCCCCATGCTGGCCCTCTGCATGGGGGTGAATTTGATCCCATGTTTAAAAATTCAAGACTTTTGGTAACTTCTGCAATTTTAACTGTCTGCTAAAGTGCAATGGAAAAACTTTCAAAATGCCCCCTGCCAAGCAAGGAGGAAGCAGAATAGAAATTGAGTCCCAGCTGCATCACTGTCTCCTGTGGCTACTCCTAGGATGATGCAGCTTCCAAATTACACCCTACTCAGGGCTGTGCCTGAAATCATAGTCTAGGTCTTTATATTCTACCACATATCTTCTCTGCATCTTTTCTTCTCCCCTCCCCCCCCTTTTTATTTTTTGTTAGGGGCCCTTCAATGAAAGTCTGGTCTTTTACTTTCAAGAAATTGGCACTTGCTGCATATTCCCCACCTGAACCCATATTCATTTGTTTGACTGTCATTTCCCTAGGAACATGTTCCGATTATTACACACAAATTACATTATAAGTACACTACTGAGGTGGTGAAGTCAAGCACTCAAAAGTTAGGAAATGCCAGAATTAAGATTGCCTTAATATGGTCACCTCATGCGTATGCATTAGGATGTAATTTCTAATTACATGATCATAATGCATAAGAACAAAGGGGCCAAATTAAGAGTGCATAGGCAACCTTTATTATGGCATTTCCCAACTTTTGAGTGCTTGACTTTGCATCCTTAGTCATGCTCTTTTAATACAGTTTTTTGTGTGTAATTCCCATGATTCCTAAAAAAAACCCAAATTCCATCATGTGAAATCCTATTGACACTCACGTGGCTCATCAGCAGGGTTGGAACCTTTGAATCCACTGTGCACATCTCTGCTATTTGATCTAACAGAGTAACTGATAGGAATAGTAAGTTGTCATCCTTCATGTGGATCAGCACTAGAGGGGGATGAGACGCACACTTTGCCATTGAGTTTCACAGATAGTCGCTGATAGCAGAGGGATGGTGAGACTCGGGAATCTTGGATTCCATTCCAAGGTCTGGAAGAGTGTTCGCTTGTTCTAATGGGCACAAGCTCTTCTGCCCATTTCCCCCTCAGCCCTATCCCCTCCAACCTTTTGTTGTCTGTGCTGTCTTCCCATTCCCTGACATCTTCTCCTAGTCCCATTTTCCTTGCCTTCCTTGTCCCTGTCTCCATTCCTCAGGTTCTCACCCCTGTCCCAGTCTCCTTTTTCAGCACCTCATCCAATCAATCTCCCTCTCTTCTCTTCAACACACACACACACACACACACCTACCTACCTACCTACCGGCTCCCAGTTCTACGGTCCCTCCCTGATCTCATTGTTCCCCTTCCCTGGCTTTTTTTTTTTGGAAAGAAGACTATTGGGGAGACAGGCTAGAGCCCTGACATTATTTGGGATAAAGGTGACAGAAGAGGGGAAACAAATGTATTCTAAGGCAGGAGTCTTGTTCAGTCGTCTGCAGAGGTCCCAGCAAACCCATGCAGCTAGCTGGGCTCTAGGCACCTTTGGAAGATAGGCTTTATATTGCAGATATCCTACTTATAAACTTGTTGCTGCTTTGCTTGGGTGGGATTTAAGCTTGTTCCATATATTATTTTCCAAGAAATCAACATTTGCAATGTTTTTCCTTTCCATGTACTATATTACATTCTTCCAGGAATGTATGGTGTTTTCACTTTTTTTCTTTTCATGACACTAGGTATTGCCCCCATTAAGAGATGTATCAAATCGTCCTGAAGTTGGCACAACAGTGAGAAACAAACTTGTGCGCCTTATGACACATGTCGACCTTGGAGTAAAGCAAATTGCAGCAGAATTCCTTTTTGTCCTTTGTAAGGAGAGAGGTATAAATCAATTTTGTTTTTCCTTTTATTCTAATTACAGCAAGACTTTAGGAAGATCTTCTTATTTCTGTAACCCTCCCAATTCCAGATATGTCCTTTAGTTTAAAAGTACTTCAGAGAGGTAGCTGCGTTAGTCTGTATCAACAAAAATAACGAGGACTCCTTGTGGCACCTTAGTACTGTTTGTGATACTGCTAAAATCATGCCTACTGTTTTTCATCGTTAATCAAATATTATATAATGGTTTCCATTTTCTAGCTACAACATGTATATAGTTACTCTGCAATGGGGCATTACATAGTACTAATATCATATTTAGTGTATCCTGACAGAATTGAGCTTCATTTTTGGGGTCTGGCCATTCTAACTAAACAGTAGTTGTAAATTACTGAAATTATTTTATACTACTTTACATATTTTCCCCCCTGCTTTTCCCAAACAAAGAGACCGATTGTTCTGTCTGCTTCCAGGCAGCACATACACCTACCATGTTTCTGTGTAATATTAAATAGATTTTATTTCTCCTCTTTAAATGAAACTAACACCTTTTAATGGCCTAGTTAATTCTGTGTTGGTGGAAGTGTGTCCTTCAAATATCTTTAAAAAATACTGAAAATCAAATTTTAATTGCCTTCCAGAGATATGTGGCTTCCGTTAAAAACTGGAGCCCTAGATGACAAATAAGATTATTTAGTACCAAAAATGTGCTGGGTGCTTCTGAGACAAACAGGAAGACAGCAGTCAATGCCTCAAAGATGTAACATAATTTACTGGAAATAAATTGTGATCAGATCAGACTAAATACCTTGATTATCCAAACTCTTTCCTGACATATATTTAATGGTTTCTTTTCCTTTTCAGTAATACGCTTTATGAACTCTTCAAACCGCAAAATAAGTGTTTTCAAAGTTTGATATCTAACGAAAAATCTAGTACCAATCCAGTAAATAATGTTCAAGTATAACTGTACTTACACAGCCTAGTCTATAGTACAGCAGCCTACAGTAAAAAATTACTTTAAGAGCTTTTCTCATCATATATAAAAATCATTTATAAATCTATAATCTCTTAATTTGATAAATTTACCCAAAATTACAAGCCAGGTGACTAGAATGTTCTGTTTATCATGGAATTGATAGTGGCAGAACAAGCTTCTTTACACTGCCCTGGTAATCTGCTTCAACCTGGGTGTAAGAGTTATTTAGGTTGCATGCTTTTTCTGTCTTCGGCCCCTCGGCTAAGAACGCCAGTGGCACCAACTGTAGTATTCTATCTGTAAGCTTTTTGCTGTAGCTGTTCAGTGCCCAAAACTCTCACTGACTTCAAGCAAAGTATCTTATTTGATTTCAATGGGAGTCCCATGTTCAGAGCAGCTGCAAAACAGGGTACCAGGAACTGGACTGAGCAAACTAATTCTTTTTTCTTACCACTAGGCCCCAAAATATTAATATGTAAATTACTTCTGAACACTACCAAGTTGGATTGGATTTCACCCCAGTGCAGAGGGAATGTGCAAGACGCTCCATGCAGTTTAAACCTTGTGCAAAGGGCTTAAGTGGGGGAGGAGAGGGCCCCTATACTGGTGTAAATTTTACCCTTGATGAGTATAAATTCAGATATACTTATTTCAACATATAGCCACTATCTTGGATTCTCTGTTGCTAAGATCATGACAGCAATTGCTTTTATAGCTTAATTTCTTGTTTAATATCAGATTTGGGCATAAGCATGCTTGTGGATTACCTTTGTAAGGTATAGGGACAATCACTTTTGTAATTCTGCATTCAGAGAAGGTGATTCTTGGAATTGCTGTTTGAAAAAAGGAGTTTTTTTGCACAGCCATGCAAAGTCTAGGCCTTTGCCCTTGTAGAAGTGTCCTACTTTTTCTCCTGGGAATATACTGTGGCATCTCTCTTGCTCTTTCTTTCTTTTTAATGCTCATTCTCCCTTAAGACCCTACCTTTTGGTGACCTTCTTTTGAATAAGGAAGGCTGAATGGACTCTATTAGGAGAACATCAGGATCTGTTCTATTGCATATTAACCAAAGGGGTCACTGCATAGCAATGTAGCATAGTCCCCATAAGGGATGAGTAGACTGTGTTTGCAGTTCTCCAAGCCCCTACTGGCCTGGTATGCAAGAGAATGGGTTTGGAAACTGGCTTCTTGTAAGTGCCCTCCATTTCAAGTCATGATTCTGTGTTGATAAAGCTTAGAAACTGATTTTCTGTCTCCCACATCAAGTTCTCATTCTGCTAGTGTCACACAGAGAATTTGTGGGGAAAAGTAACAATCTGCTGTAGGTTTAAAAAACCACTTGTTTCTAAAAAAAAAATACCTTGTGTATGCTTGGTGAAAAATGCTTTGTGCCATGTGATCTTTCTTTCAGATGGCTGTACTGAGAAAAGTGACTGTCATTTTTTTCTCATATACTGGCTGCATAAATTATGTGGGTTTTTCCCCTTTCTAACAATGACCAGCCTTAATACTACAGAAGGAGAGGCTAAACTCTTCTTCTGTAACTGATAGGATGACCTTGTTTCCAGAACATTAAGCGTGATGCATTCTGCCATTGCTGGACTATGCGCTCTGTAAATAATATATGCATGGTGCTGTGTCTCAAACATTTTTTTCCAATAAATGTTATCCTTTCACTGTCACTATGGATAGTATAGGTAAGTTACAGAAGCATTGGAGCCAAATCCTGCTGTCATTAGTCACTTGACTATTCCCACTGAAGTCACTGGGATTAGCGTATGTCAATCGAGCAGAATTTTGCCCATAGCTGTGAACCTCGGATTAAAAAGAAACCACATTTCTCAAGGAAGATAATCATTTTCAAGAAATTATGTCCACATCACATGGAAATATGTAAGTTTCAAGCAATAATAATGAAAACAAAATTCAAAAACATGAAATTTTGCCAATAGTACCAACCAAGAATTTTCTAGTTAGCTGCCCTAAATAACAGTAGCACAAATATAAAAAGTGAAGATCACTTTGTCTGTGGAGGTAGGGGTTGGAAAACCACAGAAAATTGACCAAATATGAAAGGATTCAGTGAACTTTCTAGACCATTTAGGAAAATGTTGCCAGTAAGTTTTATCTTTGGTCAGTAGGTGTTAAAAAGCTATTTTATTCTTTAGGTTTGCATAGAAAATAAAACAAGGTGTTCTAATAGTGGCTGGAGTAATAATACTTAGCACTTATAGTCAACATTTCCAGAGGAGTCTAAAGAAGTTAGGTGACCCAATCCCAATGATTTTCGGTGGGAGTTGGGAACCCAACTCTCTTAAGCGCCTTTGAAAATCCCAGCCTACCTTATTTATCAAACCAAATAAAGCACTGTTGTTGGGTTTGTTTGTTTTTTGGGTGTGTGTGTGAAAGCACGTCACAATCATTGGTTTAACTCTTCAGACCTCCTGTTAAGTAGTTTATTAGCTTCTTCGTTGTGCAGATGAGGAAACTGAGATGAAATGGTAGTTACTGCATGAGCCACAAAAAGAGCAGAGTTTAGAGCCAGGATTAGAATGTTGGGAGTTCCTGGGTCCCAATCCTGATTCATACCACTGGACCCCACCTTCCTGTCAAGAGTTAGAATACACACTTTCACTTATCACCACTTTTCAGCCTCCTGGAAATTTGCCTGTTTTATATAATTTTGTCAGACGAAACTTAAATTTGCCATCTTTATGGCTTATTAAACAATCAAAAGCGACTGACCTTGGGACCGATTTAAAATGTAATACCTCACTTCTGCCTTTTTCAGCTATTTCATAGAGCACACTGGTCCCCATATAAAGAAGTTATCTTTTAAAACCCATTTTAAAGATGATACTAATGTTGCACTTTGTACTGTAATTAAATTAACTGTTAGCTTAATAAATTGATCTTTGTCTCGTTGCAGTTGACAACTTGTTGAAGTATACAGGCTATGGTAATGCAGCAGGACTGCTGGCAGCAAGGGGCCTGTTAGCAGGAGGAAGGGGAGATCATTGGTACTCCGATGATGAAGATACAGACACTGAAGAATATAAATCGGCAAAGCCAAAGTACAGTACTATTTTTTCTTTTCTTCTTGTTACCATCACCCAGCCCACTGTGGTTTTTGAGTTAGTTTCCTCCTCTCTGCCCTTTTTCAAAGGGGTCCATCATAGCATACAACTTTGGAGTTGTGTGTGTTTACATGGACTGTTGTCTTCCACAGACTTTATGAAGGTTTTCAGTGTTGTTCTGATCTAGTGTTTCTGGGGTTCAAGTGTAACTTTATTGTCTGTTGTTCATCCTTGAATGCTGCCTCCATAACTTCATCAATTGCAACAAAGTGATAGAGAACTGACTAGCTCTACGCTGGGATGTTTCTGTATTAACCAGTTTTAGCTGGAGGTAGGTCCCATCTCCCCAGTGCTGCTAGGAGCGGCCCAGCAAGGGGTTCCTAGCTGCTAGTCAGGGCCAGTGGTGGATTAACGCCCGGGCCTATGGGGCCTGTGCCCAGAGGCCTCCCACAATTTGAAAAATGGGTTCCCCAGCCCCGGCAGGAGCCATGGGAGGTGGGGTGGCAGAAGCCCTAAGCATGGGTGGCCCAGAGCCCTGGCAAGAGCCATCAGGGACAACAGCTCTGAGCCCCACGGGGGTGGCTTCCCTGAACCTGGGCAGGAGCCACAGGAGGTGGAAGTAGTGAGTCGCGGTTGGAGCCGGGGTGCTCCCCAGCCCTGCAGGAGCCATGGGGAGGGGAGGGAGTGACACCCCTGGAGCTTGGGCGTCCTGAGCCCCAGCAGTAGCCATATGCGGGCAGGGTAGAAGCCCTGGAATTAGGGTGCCATGAGCCCAGGCAGGAACTGCGGGGGACAGCAGCCTCGAGCCCTGGCAAAAGCCGCAGGGGGAGGTAGTCCAGAACTCAGCTCTGAGGCTGCTGCAGCGCACCCCTCTCACTTCTGCGCTGCCTGTGGTGGTGAGTCTGGTCCTTCCCCTACCTGGCTGTTATGGGGAGAGAGACGTCCTGTTCCTCCCGAGCCTGGCTGATTTGGGGGAGATGAGATTTCACAGGGCAGGGCTTATTTCATGGTCCATGACATGTTTTTCACAACCGTGAAATTAGTAGGGCCCTAATGGTGGGATACCATTTCAGTAGGCTTAGAGTTATTTCAAATGCCCATTGTAATGCTTGAGTAGGGTTTACTTGTTATATGGCTTTGCTCTGCCTTGCTTGAAGACACTAGATCTTCTTGATGGAAGAAAGATCTATAAATATATTGTGACAAAGTTCCTCCTCTATCTTGGTGGATCCTGCGCTTATTGGCGGATTTTCTTGTCTCAGAGATTCACCATGTGGGTTGGGGAACAGCCCAGAGACCTTCCCCTCTGGAAGAACCCACAGTCCAGGTCAATTGGGAGGTTTGGGGGGAACCCGGACCTGCCCTCTACTCCGGGTTCCAGCCCAGGGCCCTGTGGACTGCAGCTGTCTATAGTGCCTCCTGTAACAGCTGCATGACAGCTACAACTCCCTGGGCTACTTCCCCATGGCCTCGTCCAAACACCTTCCTTATTCTCACCACAGGACCTTCCTCCTGGTGTCTAATAACACTTGTGCTCCTCAGTCCTCCAGCAGCACACCCTCTCACTCTCAGCTCCTTGCGCCTCTTGCTCCCAGCTCCTCACACTCGCACCACAAACTGAAGTGAGCTCCTATTAAAACCTAGGTGCCCTGATTAGCCTGCCTTAATTGATTCTAGCAGCTTCTTCTTAATTGGCTCCAGGTGTTCTAATTAGCCTGCCTGCCTTAACTGATTCTAGCAGGTTCCTGATTATTCTAGTGCAGCCCGTGCTCTGGTCACTCAGGGAACAGAAAACTACTCATCCAGTGACCAGTATATTTGCCCTCTACCAGACTCCTGTACCCCACCGGTCTGGGTCTGTCACAATATGTAGGGTTATTTCATTTTATGTTCAGCCTCTCTCAAACACACATTTAAAAATGTGCAGATTCTGGCCTCTTCGGACCTCCTATTGTAAAATCTCCTTGAGTTCAGTAGGTTACAGCAACACGTTTTTCCCCCCCTAAATCAACATATTCCACTAAGAGAAGAAAATTGATGGAAGACTTCAATCTTTATAGGCACTTCCTCTTGGTCTCTTTTTCAAGAACCTGACATGAAAAGAAGTCCTGTCATCTCCAGATAATAAATTATGGGCATCTTGAATTTAAAATATATTTGTGGGCATGTAGTCTGGGATTTGCCATTTTGTTTCTGTGAAAAGGTCTTGTGTAACTTCCTCTACTACTTTTATTGAATATTATTTTTTGTTTCATTTTTGGAAGTGTGATTCTGCTCTGAGAAGTCATACTCTTTTTTAAAAAAAAAAATTGTGTGTGTGTGTGTGTATATATATATGTATATATATATACTACTACACACTACTCTCTCTCTCTCTCTCTCTCTCTCTCTCTCTCTCTCTCTTATACTTTGTGGTGTCTTTGATTTCCATATTAAATTGACTCTCAGTTTTTTAAATAAAAAATGAGTGGGGGGAAAGGGGTTCCTAGCAGCCAGTACTGTAAATTCAGCCTCTGATCATAGTAAAGCTTGGTTCAGTAAAGATGAGTGTGAGAAGGAAGTCGTGATGCCATTTTAAAGTACCCCCACCACATATTTAATTTGAGGATAAAGTGCACCATCAGAACTGGACCATATGTGCCAAAAGTAATAGTTCCAGAAAATTAACTCAAAATGCCTACTTCGAATAGAATTCCTCTTTTGAGTCTTGACACATAGGCATAATGAGTATACCTCTACCCCGATATAATGCGACCCGATATAACACTAATTCAGATGTAAAGCAGCGCTCCGGGGGGACGGGGCTGCACACTCTAGTGGATCAAAGCAAGTTCGATATAACGCGGTTTCACCTATAACACGGTAAGATTTTTTGGCTCCTGAGGACAGCGTTATATCTAGGTAGAGGTGTACTAGTGGTATTGAAGCACTTAACATGGAGCTAATATAATAATAAATTAAAAAGCCAACAAAATGAATATAAAACAATATGGAGGAAAGCCATCCATGAAAAGAACTGCAGAATTCTACTTGCAATTCTGTCTGAAGGAGTTAAACAATTTTATAATGCTACCAGGGACCATTAACTTAAAACCGTTATTTGTCAAAATCCAAAAAGAGAATTTTTGTTTGTATGTATTTATAGATGTAAATGCTACAGCATCTTTTTTCCCCCCCTCACAGCATTAATCTTATCACTGGTCATGTAGAGGAGCCAATGCCCAACCCTATGGATGAAATGACAGAAGAACAAAAAGAATATGAAGCCATGAAACTTGTCAACATGTTTGATAAACTTTCCAGGTAATGTAACACTATCCAAAATACTACAATCAAACAAAAAAAGTGGATGTTTTTAATCATAGCTCTTCTTAAGAGAGAGGTTTAGGCCCCAATTCTTCACTATGTCAGAGGTGCGTATTAATTTCAATGGGACAATTTGCTTGCTTTTTAGTTTATCCACATGCTTGAGTGTTTGGATTTTTGTTTGGTTTCCCCCCCCCCCCCCTGTTTTGGCCACTTTCACTGGACAGGAAAATGATGCTTACATTTTGACAAATAGCAAGAACTTGTATTTAACACGGTTCCATCTAACTCTGTTTAAACTCTAATGTGGAGAGGACCTTTGGAAACTGATGGTTCCCTACAATAAAGCAAAGGAGCCAGGCTGGAGAGACAGGTGCACTTTAAGTTGCTTCAGAAATCTGGTTTAAAACACTGACCAACATAATAAAACACCCTGAAAAACCAAGAGTCTCTAAAACCTACCTGCTTTTTGACAGGTTTACTGTTTTCCAGTCTCACTGTCTCATTGCTGTTACTTTTAAGTAGCAGTGATGATTGTAGACAGTTTCTCTTTCTTGATATAATGTGGGTGTGCTGTTTGCACTTCCTGACCCTGGGGGGAAGAGCAAGAGTCGGGGACAGAATGGCAGGGATTGTGTTCAGAACAGATTAGGAGGAAGCTGGTGTGACGAACAGAAGAAATCAAAGGTTGTGTGGAGAAAGCAGTAGTGGGAGGGTTGGGGAGTGTATGGACAGAACATAAAAGACTGTCAGTGTGGAATGACTGGGGGGGAGAAAAGGTGGGGCGTATACAGTGTTTGGGGAGTAAAATACACCAGTGACTAAGGATCAAGATGAGACGCAGCAGTGGAGGACACCCTAAGGCACTAGATGGCTTGGCAGACTGGCAATGACATTTGTTATTTCTAAGTTGCTGGATAAAATTGATGCAGCAGGTGTCGATTTAGCCGATCTAGTGAAGCGTCTGCTGTCGATGCAGCACAGTGAAGACATCGCAGTAAGTCACCCTAAGCTACATTGACTCCAGCTACGTTATTCACATAGCTGGAGTAGTGTAACTTAGCTCGACTTACCCCGGTAATGTAGACAAGGCCTTAGATTGTAACCTCTTCAGGGCAGGAGCTGTCTTGGTGTTACATGTTTGTACGATGCTCGTTGCAACGAAGCCCTGAGTCATGATTTGACCCCCTAGGCACTACTGTAATACAAATTAAAAAAAAAAACACTTGAGGCTGTTCCCTTTTTTTTATTTATTGAAAAAAAAATTGATGTAAAAAGATGCCACCAGTAAGAGAGAACTAAAGGAAATGAGGCTTGTTTACAGGAGACTGGAGTGTTTTTGTTTGTTTGTTTTTAACCAAATGTAACTTACTGCAGTTGGTCAGTTTGTAGAGATACTAAATGGAAACAGGAAGCTGCCAGTCTTGCATTCAAGAAGAGAGGAACTAATTTTAAAAGTAGTTGGATTTTCTCCTTTTTTTTTTTTGGAACTGCACACATGTGCCTGCAGTCTGAGCCTTTCAATACAGGGACTTTATGAAAAAAGTTAATGCTACCAGTTGACTACAGGGGGTCCCTGGTATGTCTTCCCCTTATCCGTTGTTTCATATATTCGTCGCTCATCAATAGAGGAATGTGTTCCGATTCACATCGGTCCTGATCCGCGTATCCATTGTTTGCAGTACTGTAGTGTAAGTTGCAAATGACGGATATGCTCACCGACGTGAATCAGAACACATTCCCCTATTGATGAGCGACGGATATGCAACAGATATGGGTAGTCCCACTTAATATCCAGGCCCACCCCAGTCCCGGCTCTGCTCCAATCCCAGCGTTTTCCCCACCACTTGCTCCCATCCCAGCACTCCAGCCACGGAGCAGGGGTCGGGGGCTCGCCTGGTGCTCCAGCTGCGGAGCCCCAGATGGGCAGAACAGGGCAAGCCCCGAGCGCCTGTGGTGAGCAGGAGCGCACATTTTTCTGGGAGCCCCAGGCCAGAGTGTCTATTGCGCCCCCACCACAAGGCCAACTGGAGGGGGGAAAAGGCCGCCAGATCGCTTTTACCCCTCTGTTCTCTGTCATTGCCCACTCCAGTGTCCCCACCTGCCTATGCCACTGCTATACCAGTGGGTCCCCGGTATACGTCATTTTGGTATCCGTGGCCCTTTTCAAGAACATAACTCCAACTTATACCAGGGACCCACTGTAACGTTTTGTGGTTGTTTGTAGCTTGCAAATTAAACTGAAAGCTGCTTTGCTACAATTCTTGAAAATTAACCAGAAGTTTTATAAAGTCTAATTTTCTTCTATACTGGAATTGCACTTCTAGGACCGCAATCTCTTAGCTTCTTGGTTCTGAAGCTCATGGCCTTGAAGCAGATCACTAATGGCAGGTGTACTTCCTCCTAGATAGATTTGCAAATTCTATTGTCACTATAGGAAGTAACACATCAGGAAGCTGGCAGTGGAAATATTGCCATACTGAAAAGTTATAAGTAATCAAAAGTAGCAGAAATGCCATTGCAATCTTAACTATAGTCTAATGTCAATTGCATTTCCCTTCTCTGCTAGTGTTAATCACTTTAAAGATGCCAATAAATGATTATTACCTCCTTCCAGCACCAGCATGCTTTAAATCATTTAGGGAGAGAGGTTTTTTAAAAGGGAAAGAAATTGAACAGGAAAATGTGGGGAGGGGCATATAACTCTTTAAGAACTAGCATTCTCATAGTAAAGAAAAATATAAAGGATTGATAAGTCACTGACTGACTGAAAATGGCAAAATCATCCCATCTGATTACAGACCATTCTAGATCTGATTTTATTTATTTATTGTTTTTAAAATGTGTTATCTGCTGACTGACTGCACTCCTAGGAAATAAAAACATGGCCCCATTTTTTAAAAGGGCATAAACTTTTACAAGCAGTCATGTGTTTGGATACAAATGTAGCGAGCTGTGAAGCTGGCCATTTTTTGACTACTTTAGTATTTTGTATCATATTAATATTGAATCGTGCCTGTTGTAGGAGATAATTGCATGCAACAAGGAAACATTTGAAACCATTTTGTGGCATTTAGTAACACTAAACAATGACAAACATGATGGAGCTGGAAGGAGGTGATAAGGATTTATTGGCATCTTTAAAGTTATTAACTGTCTAGTAGAGGAGAGAAATGCAATGGATATTAGACTATAGGTAAGGTTGCAATGCAATATCTGCTATTTTCAGTTACTTATAATTTTTCAGTATGGCAGTTGTGCTTGAATGAATCTTTTCATGCCGAAGTTGATTTTGTGAGAGAATGAATTATTATTGCTAATTTTGGGGAAAAAAATAATTAATCCAGTTTTACTTCATCTAAATATAGGTAGTGTGAAGGGGAAGAGTGAATATACACATTTGTGATGTTTGACTTTTTTTTGCACCTAACTGAAAACTGCTTTGTACAGACTGAGAGTGTTTAAAAGTATTTTTGAGTTTTTTATGGTTAAATTGCAGTTTTTACAAATGAAGTGTTATCTGGAATTTTGTAATCCATGAAAAGGGAAAGTGGCATACAGAATGTGAACTCCTTATTCGTCAGAAGTCGGGATACATACAAGGATAGCACCCATAAATTATATAGGAATGAAGTATTAAAAAAAATCCAATATAACCATAACAACCTATCCTAAACATGAATCGTCTTTTGGTTTTTAAATAAAAAGTGTGTTGGTCTCGGTTTTATAAAAACTCTGTTCCATTCACAAAAACTAAACTTTGGTACAAATTTGGCCTGACAAGGATGCTTTGTTGTTGTTGTAATATATGTATTTCTAATGTTTTTCAATGCAAGGCCTTGAAATCTCTACAGCGCTGGGGAATTTTCAACACTACTTGGGCAAGGTGTTGGATAGAGTGTTGGGTGGCTGGAGTTAGCCCCGAATTTGTTTCAAATAAAACCTATTTGTAAATAAGTAGTACAGATCATCTTGTTATAGCAATGAGAATTGTTGGTTGCGAATCAGTTTACTCTCCACAGAAAGTCATATGATTGAGCTTCCAAAACCACCTACAATCTGTGAAAAAGATTTAACATAACCTTTCGGTGTTGCAAAAGACTAAATTTAGCCAAATTAAATCACTGTTGTGCAATTTTCCATCTGTTTATATCCTACAGTATTGGAAATATTCCATGTTAATTAAAATGTCTGATAAATATACTAACACTTTCTCCATTATAAATGATGGGAGAATTATATATTAATTGACTAATTTAAAATGTCAGGGTGCTTTTTCCAAGCCAACCTTGTATTAATAGCAGGAATTCTTTTGGTGATGAAATGGTCCCCAATTATCACAGCTTGGGTTTTGTTGTACATTGAACAGAAGTCAACAAAACAAGTATGTAACAGAACCTGCCTAAATAGCAGCCACACTCATTAAAAACATAGCATTAATCAGGGGGTGAATGAAGAAGGCAATGGTGTATAGATTTTTTTTTCCCCTCTAATCATAGAACAAAATAATGTTACATGAAAGGATCGGAACTATTATGTAGTACTCAATTATAGGGAGGTGAATAGGTCCCAAACATGCCATGTTATCAAAGGAACAGACTGGTGTTTGCATGACGGTTGTTTCATTACAGACACTGTCATTAATTCCATGTGTCAATACTGCCCTGTCATACACAGAGCAGACAAGAAAGAAGTACCCTTGAAAACAAGGGAATGATTTTTTGAATCGTTATCAAGCTAAGTGGCAAGCAGGAAGCTGGAACTTGTATAGGTAAATTTGAAGGGACACTTGGGAGATCTGCAAGTGGGAGAAAAGAATGTATTTTACCAACTGCTTAATTAGGGTGTGTTTTCTACTTGTATACTTGAATAGAATGCTTTGTTTGTGTTAGGAACATGTGTAGTGCAGCGAAGAGTCTTTGATCTCGTTAGGGGATGTTACAAGGATGTTTACACACATTTAAACAAATTTTATTAATAGTACATTCACATATTTGCATTTATAATATATATTCAATGGATACAGCAAAATTCACACTGCCACCCATTGTGTGCGGGAAGTAATATCTCTTTCCTGTAATGTGGAATGATCAAACTTCATAGATGTGAAATTATTTTCTTTGAAGTGTGTGCATTTGTCAGGAGAACCCCAAGATGACTTTTACCTTACTTCAAACAAAAGGGTGCAGGTCCTCAACTGGCATAAATTGTCAAAGCTCCATTGAGGTCTCTAAGCAACTAGTGCTAAATTGGTGACTCGTTGTTAATGGACCTAGGACAGTTTACACGAGTTGAGGATCTGCATGAGGACTGTTGTATGCAACTGTCAAAGTCGGTTTTATTTCAGTTGGTGGAGTTACTCCTCTTGCAAACCTACCCAACGAGTTTTGTTGTTTTGAGTAATGCACTCATTCCAGACTCATAAAGTTAGCTTTCTGGCATCCCAAACGTCACATATTTTGTTTGCTAATTATTCTCTTTACTTTTAGTCCTTTTTTTCTTTTCCCTTCTCATTTTACCTGTTCGAAGTACATAAGTTACTGTGGAGTGATTTGGAACTTTGCAATCCAGCCCAGCTGAGAGGAAGCACATAGTTGTGCTGGCCCTGATTCTGGGACAGAACCAGATTGACTTGGAGACTGTTGCTCCAAGGGGAAGATGGGACCAGTTTGCAAGAAGTAATAAGTTGTGCCAGCTCTCTTGTTGGCACAGCTTACTTCCTCCATGCCAGCTCAGCTGCACTGACTGGCCCATGTAATGTTGTGGGGAGAGCATGGACCCAAAGCTCCACCCACCTCCATGAGAAGGGGAGTAGCAACCTGATAGTGGTTTCTTCCCCTCCTCCATAGTGTCTGGTAATACAGGAAGCCTGTGCAGGAGAACAAAGGGTACTCAGCAGGGTTTACAATTAAGCCCTATGGGATGAACATTCTTGGAATGACACCCACAAGTGCAGTATAGTATACAGCCAATATATATTGTGGCTTGAAGAATATACCGTGATATGAAAAATACATGAGTTTGATCATCTTAATCATATATATAATGGGGGGGGTGTTTAAGGGGGTGCATCAGTCTCTTAGTTTGAGTTATGCTCTCAGTGAAATATTTTGTGTATTTAAAGTTAAAAAAAAACTAATGTGGATGCACATATTGTTTGCATGGTGTCTTGACAGATTTTACAGTATAAGTTTTGAAAATGATTCCTTTTAGTGAGAGCAAGTTCATCTCAGGTACTATGAATGTATATTTCTATGCAGTATGTAGAAATGAAATAGATCTACAAGGTAAATCACACAGAAAATACAAATCTTATTTTTGATACTTTAATTGAAATGGCATAAAACTTTCTTGTGAAACTATACTTACACCCAGATATTTGTGAGTATCATTAAGAAAAAACAGTTGCCTCAGTGGGCTAGAAAAAATGTAGATTTCTGTAAGGTTTTGTAGATTACTTACCCCCAAATTGCTAGTCAGAAAACTAGCTTGGGAAGCAAATGTCCTGCACTGCAAGCATTGTAGAAGATGGGTACTGACAGTCTTATGAGAAAATTGTAATAAAAATACTGGGTTTTCAATATACTGCATGCATCAAGGTAGATTCCTGTTTTCTAAGTTTCCCTTACCTTTCAGCACTGGCACTGAGGAGCTGCATCAAAGCTGTTACAGCCTCATGTGTAACTGATGCATGAATCCATTTCCTTTAGATTCATTCTACAATATTAGAATTTAATTCTATTTTATACCAACCCAAATGGATTTTGACAAGTCAGATCAAATAAAGATGTCCCAGATCCACCTTACCTTAAGGAGTCTGAAAATTTGGAGGACTCTCCAGACCCTGTTCTTACTTCTTGAGGAAAAGCTAGACTATTTGCCAAGATACAAGCTCCCTAGGCTTCGTAGATAGGAAGGGTAGCCTTCCTTCCTACAATCTGTGTTAGAAATTGATAACTCCAGAGTAATCCAAGAGTTCTTGAAGCCTGTCAGGATCTGATGCTGTCTGTCCAAGAGATCTTGAACCAGGAGAAAATTGGTGGTGACGCATGCTCATACAACCTTAGCTGTCAAGAACTCTGAGAGATCTCCAGTTTCCTCTCCTGCCACCATTATGAATTGTCTGGAGTGCTGCTATTGCTAAAGCATATCTAGTTCAAATTCTTATTTGGCTATGTAAAGTCCTTAATCCACAGTAGAGATGAGCTACTTGAGCAGCCATCACTCCCCCTAGGTCCCTTTAAAACTTCTGTGGTTGGCCAGGTTGCCCTTGTTTTTCATCCTGTGGTTTTATATGGGTAAGACCAGGAGTAGCAAGACCTTATTTCAGCAACAAGGGGTGAAATCCTGGATCCATTGAAGTTCATGGCAAAACTCCCATTCCCTTCAGGGTAGCATGGATTTTTACCCTTTGTCTATGGGACTTCTTGAGCATTGAAGTCCTACTGTAACTATTAGCCTGGTGTATTCAGGTCTCTCATGACTGCTTTGTTTTCACCTTTTACCACCATTTTTATTGATTTGGTCCTTTTGGCAGTGTGGCCCTTTAATATTTTTAATGTGCTCAGATACATGGTGACTTATGACCAAATGGCTAGTAAGCAACATGATTCTGTGGCTTTTGACATCTGTTTCAAATGTTGTGATGTAAAAGTGTTTTGGAAGAAAGCCTAGGAATTTCCTGATTCTTTATACTTGTTGGAATTTAAAAACTTACTCAACAAAGAACTGTGGACTTCAAGCATTGGGTGAGGGAAGCTTTTAGTATGCATGACAGAAAAGCAAATGTGTCCGTTACTGAGACTTAAATTCACCTGGGGCTTGAACTGTAATAAGGCTGAATTGTGGGATTCAAAGGATCTTGTTACCTACTAGAGGCTTCTGACTCCTGTGCTGCATCTTTCCAGTCAGCCGAATGCCTTTTGAAAAGATTCCAAAGCACTTCACCAGCCAGACTTTACTTGTCTTGTTGGCGGGCCTAATGGCAGGAGGAAAAACACAAGCCCTGTGCTTTCAGTACTAGATATGTGGTTCCTCACCATTGTTTGGGCCTACAAAATCAGATTTTGAAAATATTTTTGATACTCTTACCCTCTCCCAGAATACATGTTAGAGCTTAAGAAGCTGGAAGAATTTTCTCAGGAAATTCTCAGATGGTCAGGAGAGTACTAGAATCCATACTGCCAAAGTGAGAAGAGAAGGAAGAATCAGTCCTAGAACCCATGACTAGTTCTCTCCCCTCCATCTACTTTCCATGAGGAGAATAGCCAGTGGATGTACAAAATTGCACATTCCCTCCCCCTGCCAGGTCTCCCTGGAGACTGAGGTGTGCAAGGAAGCCATACTGTTACTTGTCTGCATGCAAAGGTTGCAAACCTCTTGCACAAATACCTAGAAGTCTGCCCAGCCCCAGCTTGGCAAAACCACACTGGTTTCCTTGAGTTCAAGGTGTCTCAAGCTACATAGTGCCGCAAATACATTTTTCTAAAATGCCAGAGGAGAAAGCACTATCTGTTGAGTTTGTGTCTGGTGCAAATAATCACTGTGGTTTGCGTGCCTCACTTATGCAAATAGTTCCCCTTTCTCTATTGAGAGAGACAAGATTCTTCAAAACTAGGGTTTCTGGTATCTTGTTTAAACTTTGCTCATCTTTATAATATCTGGCTTATTGTTCATACCCTGCAACTAGCATGTTGCTTTTCTAGCTGCTTCTGTAGCAGCCTTTATTGGGATTGTTGACTCTCTGTACAAAGCCCTTCTCTTTTGTCCTAAAGAGAGAGTGAGGAACAGGCAGAATGTTGGAGGAAATAAAGCATTTCCCCACTGAGAGTAACTAAATTCTGCTCTTTAGGTTATGGCTGTCTTTGGGGACAACAAACAAGTTTCAAGGGATTCCCTTTCAAATCTGAGGTAAATTAGGGTCCGGCATCCACACCATTTAAATGAAATCATGAAAATTAAAAATAAGGGCTTTATAATAGAAAATCAAAATGTTATCTTTGACCTTACAGCCTTTGCCATAATCCAAATATAATAAATGAGGTGATAAAATGTCAGGATTAAATAAATCTTTGCTAATACTTTTTGATTGGCTTTAATCAATAATTAATCATCTTTAGATGAGGCTGTGGCTTGTGGAGTAGATATAATTGGATTAGCTGTGGAGAGGCCTTTGGAGCTTTGAAGAGATTAAAATGGCTGTCAATCCTGTAATTAAACTGCTACAAACAAAAGCAATAGTAAAAAAATAAGTAAAAAAAAAAAAAAGCTGACTGTTTCAAAATAAATCAACAAGTACTTAAGCACCACTAGAGGTTGTGTAGGCAGAATGTTCTCCTAAATGATTTATTTCACTGAATGAGATGAATATGTATCAAATCATCTATTTTAATTGTGTGTGTTGCCCAGAATGGCAGGTGAAACTTTGGCAACCATTTCTTCTTAAAGAAATCACAGAAGAAAAGCTAGTGTATGTATTTAAAACAGTGAACCTGCTCCTTGTCCTGAGTCTGTTGGGCATTGACTTTTCCTGTATCTTTTAATTGGCTTAATAGGTTGGTCTACATGAATGAAGTCTTTATGTGTCCTCCCCACCCCCATTTTGGATTTGTTTTGTTCCCCTTTCTTGTTCAAAATGGAGAACTTCGTTAAAAAATTATTGTAAAGACTATTAAAAACATAGTTTGTGTGTATATTTCTATATATAATAAAACAGTGGATTGATGCATGTGTGCATATGCTAACTAAGACTTTTAAAAAAATCTTACAGGGATGAGGTTATAAAACCAATGGGAGTTCGACCGGATGGCACGATGACTCCTTTGGAAGAGACAATCTGCCAGTACCAAACCAATGAGCAAGACAGTTCAGATTCAGACTAAAGCATCACCTGCTTCACTGTCAATATCTCCTTTAATCAGCATCTTCCTTCAGAGCCGCGACATCTTTTATCTACACATTCTACCCTCTCATTAGCCAGCATCACTTTAAGTCTTATTATTGGGATATTTGAATGATGGATCTTGTGGTGTAATCTCTGCATTTTTATTAATCCATTTATATAGGAACAAATGATCAGTTTATTAATTGTAAAGCAAATTGTATTTCAGTGAGATGAAAATAAAAGATTGCAATGCAAAAAAAGTAAATATTTATTAAAACTTGCTAGATTCTTCTCTCCCATTTCAATAGGTTTTTTCCCTTTTTTGTTTTTGTTTATGGTGTCTTACCCCAACCCCTTCCTAAAATACAATTTCAGCTAAAGAAGCAGAATGACTTAATTGCCCTAGGAATAAAGGATGTTCAATGTGACATGACTGACCTAGTCAAGCCATAAGTTTGCTTACACAATTGCTCAATGATTCTACCACCGCTTTAGAAAAAAAACATGTTAACCATCAAATTTTATCTCACCATTCATTACCATGGTTAACCAGTCTGTTTCAAAATTTAACCTCTGTGTCAGTCAGCTACTGATTACTGCTAAATCTATTTTTATTTTCTTTTTTAAATAAGCTGTATTTGGTTGTTCCCTGAATCAGGGCCACAGAAGCAAACCCCAGCAAGCCTATACTGCTAATGGCCTTGATCAGGAGCATCGAGTTGTATGAGAGCACAGGAGCCTGGTTCCACCAAAGTCCGGGGACGGGTCTCTCCCCTGGCCCCGACTGCTGCCCCCGCGTGCCTCCCCCGGATCGTCCCCTGCCTGCCGCCCCCGGGGCAATTTAAAAGGGCCCGGGGCCCCCACCACCACCACCAGCAGCACAACAGGACTAAGGCACTTCCTGCCCGCCTGCCCCGAGTGCCAACTCTGCCAACTGCAGCCAATGGGAGCTGTGGGGGCGGAGCCTGTGGGCAGTTGCGCATGGAGACTGGTCTGGCCCCCAGCCTAGGAGCTGCTGCCAGAGGGGGGGGGGATCACTTTTGGGAGCCGCCTGAGGTAAGCGCTGCACCCCTCATCCTCTCCTGCACCCCAACCCCCTGCACCCGCCCAGAGCCCGCAGCCAAATACCCTCTGAGAGCCTGCCCCGTGCACTCCCTCCTGCATCCCAACCCAGAGCCCACACCCAAATGCCCTCTCAGAGCCGGCCCCCTGCCCTAGCCTATTCCCCAACTCCCAGAGCCTGCACCCCGCACTCCCTCTCCCAGCTCGGAGCCTGCACCCTAACTCCCTCCCAGAGCCTCTTCCCGCACCCCTACCCCAACCCAGAGCCCACAGCCAAACTCCCTCCCTCACCCAAACTCTCTCACAGAGCCTTAGGCGGGGGCAGGACTTCGACCTGTTCTGGGCACCATCAAAAATTACACAAAGCTGCTGCCCCTGGCCTTGATTCAGGAAAATATCCCTATTCAGAACAGTGCTTAAGCATGTTCTAAGTTGTTGCCAGGGATGGACTTCAGTGCATATTTAATCAGATGCTACTTGTTGAAAATTAACAGATGTGTAAATTGAGGGGAAGTCAAGTCAAGAAAGGAGAAGGGGTTGTTTTTTTTGGCGGGGGAGGGTTTTTTAATTGAAATTGGTGGAGTTGTGGGATAAGGCTTGTTATACTTAACTAATGCTTCTTTAATCTTTAAATTTTCATTTTTTAAGGGTCCAGAATTGTAAAGTTTTAGGAGAGCTGCATTACGGCTGTTGCCTTTTTGCCTACCTGGTCTTTCTACCTGTGTCTTTTGGTATCAATATGTGAATTACAATCCCTGCTACCTGCCCTAGTCAAGTCTGTTTCTGTGTTTTGTTCAAGTGTTCGTCTCTCTCACTCTTTCAGGGGGAGGCTGGCAGAACTCCTCCAGCAACAACTACTCCAAGCATGGTTTTTCTCAAGGAAGCCAGCACCCCTCTAGCCTTTTGTTTCCCTCAGTTTAACATTGGTCGTGTACATTGCTTCTGGACAGACTGTAACGTCCATAAGACTAAGTGTGCACACTTCTGTCCACATGGCTCCCTAACCTGAGTGATTTTGTGTAGCAGGGGAAATGGAACTTGATTTCATAGAGATGTGTTACTAAGGCCTGGTCCCCACTAACCCCCCACTTTGGACTAAGGTACGCAAATTCAGCTACGTTAATAACGTAGCTGAATTCGAAGTACCTTAGTCCGAACTTACCGCGGGTCCAGACGCGGCAGGGAGGCTCCCCTGTCGAGGCCGCGTACTCCTCTCACCGAGCTGGAGTACCGGTGTCGACGGAGAGCACTTCCGGGATCGATTTATCGCGTCTAAACCAGACGCGATAAATCGATCCCAGAACACCGATTGCCTGCCGCCGGACCCGGCGGTAAGTGTAGACGTACCCCCAGAGGTGTTTCCCTAGCATCCCTTATACTTCCTAAAGGACTGAAACGAAAAGCCCACTGATGCGGTCTTAGAAGGTGTGAGTTTCACTCACTTCAGGGAGAGGTTAGCCAGGAGCCTGCCCTTTTACTTTAAAGAGCACCAGGGATATCAAAATTAATATTATAGAATTTTTGAAGCTGAGACCACTACAAATGTGTTATGCTAATCCATGCGATTCTAGATTGCCTGATCAATCTGGCTACAACTTCATACTGCATTGAAACAAGTGGAGTTCAAGCCACCTTGCAGAAGTGAAGCCAGCCACAGCTCCTGCCCTGAGTTGGAGGAAGAAGGCAACTGGCCAAAGCAACCACATTTCTAATGCACCAATAATATCTAGGTGCCACATACAAAAGTAAGAATGGCCCCATTTCTGCCACTACAGGACCCTACTCCTCCATCTTGTGCAAGTTTCCCAAATGAGCTTGGTTTTGGTAGTTGCCTTCTTCCAGATTTGTGTTTTTTCTCCAATAATGGGAGTCTGACTGTGGAAGAGTCTACCTGTGGGCAGTGCTTGCTCGACACAAATTGTCATCAGCCCTCCGTAGACAATAAGATTAATGGTGTAGAAGATGACAACTAGAGAATTCACAAATTCTCTCCCTCAGGAGCAACAGCTCATGAGCTTCATTAATGAGGATTTGAAGGTCTCTTGGTATCCGCTCTGCATGCTCTTTCCTACAGAGGCAGGAGCCGTTGTCTCAAGAGTAGATTCCCATAAAACATACAGTGACTAGGATTTTGGACACCGATCAAATGTTGTAGCAAGACCTCCTGCAAAGTGGAAGGGATCAACACAAGGTAATTTTGACTAAAGAGAAAGATCACACTTTGCTCCCTGAGTGTATTCTACCAACTCTAAAATGATCTTTCCCAGAAGGCCAGAGGGAGGAACATAAATTATATTGGCTCAAGGGACCTCAATATAGAAAGCACAACACTGGGCTTCTGCCAGTCTGAATAACACAACCATTTGTTTTCCTGTTTAAAGGTTTATTTTGCAAAATAAGAGTATATATTCTTCAGACACCCACTGGACATTGCTTAAAGTGACAGGCAGGAATGAAGACTCAGTACCTGAATCTGGCTGATGTTCCAGCTCTGAAGTAATTCATCTGAATTCACTCCTCCTTAGTAGATTGCAATATGGTCGTGTTAAGAGTATGGAGTAACTTTCTACTAGGGCAATGTCTCAAAACCTCACTCCATTATTCGGTTAACTTTACACAGCAAGATTATGGGGAGTGGGGGTGAAGGTTCCTGTAGACCTGGCACCTCCTCCTCGAAAAAAACCAAGGCTCTTCTCCCTCCCCACATGCCCTCTCTCCTTTCTTTGAGATGGCTCTTCGTCCTACCTCACCATTTCATCCCTCTGCATCATGGATCCAAAACACTGCCTGCAGGCTACCTGCAATCTACACTGTGTATCAATCTGGTTCCCCTGACAGCTTCAGATTCTGTGGAATTTAAGCTTTTTTGGGGAAAAGTAGTATGTAGCCTTTTAAATTTGAAAGAAAACCTGCACCTGCTGGGATGCAGTGCTGTCTTCCTCAGTCTGCAGAAGCTGGTAAGAAACAGCACCACAGAGCCTGCAGCAGGAAGAGGATCTGCTCCTCTCTCTCCCTAAGGAAGACCTGAGGTAAGGAGGAGATCGGAGTCTAGGTCAGAGAAGGATGGTTGTGAATAACTGGTGGGCTCTAAGTTTAAGCCCCCTTAAATTTCAAGCAACTGCACTGCTCAAGCCAACTGCTCACAAAGAAGGAAAAAGGCCCACAGGCACTAGCCCACGTCGAACCCAACACTGAGATGGGCAAAGACACGGGGGAGGTGAGGAATAAAATAGGCATTACAGTGGCCCTAAAGAGGCAATAGCTAATTTTATTAAGGGCCTGAGTGAGGCTAGCACCCCCATTTCTCCTTGACCAATGGATTTACAGTTGCTCAGCACTTCAGGGCATAATATTGGTTATTGTGGCCATTCATAGTCTAACTTCAGTTATCCTAAACTCCCATTGATATGTCTGCTGTGCGCCGCAAATGCGTATAGGACCCTTCATGACTTCATAGCTCTGCCCCATGGGCTCTAATTAAAATTAAATTCAGCCATGTCTCCCTAATGAGTTTGACATTCCTCCCCTTGCTCCCCGGTGCTGCACCTCTCTCAGCTGCTGCATGCTACATTTTGGTGTGACTCACAGAATATTGTTAAATGAGCCTGGAGGCTATGCTTCCCTTTTTGAGTTAATTTGTATGACAATAGCTCCTACAGGTCCCAATTGGGATTAGGGCCCCATTGTGCTAGGCGCTGTATGTACGCGTGTGCACACACACACTAAAAACACAATCCCTGTCTTGAAGAGCTTATAGTCTAAGGGTGAACTCAAGTGAGGCTTTCCTAAGTTTAAGAAAAAATGTATCTGGTGTCAATGAAAACCAGACATTTAGCAGTAGCTTCAGTCATTTTTTAAGGACAGATCTTCTCATGAACCCCTGCACGCCCCTGTGCTGAGCCCAGCCTACAGCAGTTGAATATATGAGAAAATATTAGGACAATGTTAAGGAATCAAGATGAAAATACACTTGATTCAGCGGAGTGGTGCAGCTGCTTGGTTGTTCTCTCTCTTGGTGTAGGAATGCACAAGTAGCTATCGGTAATCTCATGTGGGAATGTAAGCAGTATTGTAGTTGTGTTGGTCCCAGCATTCTAGAGAGAGAAGGTGGGTGAGGTAATATCTTTTACTGCAGAGTCATGACTGAGGAGAGCTGTAAAACACATGTTAAGGTAACTATAGCATGTGCTAGTAGATCAGGATTATTTTAGCATATTTTATGGTCCCATGGCCTAGTGTTTGCTTCTGCTAAAAGTCTTGAGGCAGCCATTGGACATTATTCAAACCATCAGCCTGCTTCTGAATTTAATAAGCTTTAGTTCTACTGTATGTAATTGTATTGGATAATAATGATGGGCTCAGTCAGTCCACCCATCCAATGGAAGTTGCTGGATCTGTCACTTTGATATTGGGCAAAACTTTCAAAAGCACCTAAGTACCATTTTAAAAAGTGACTTAGGAGCTCAGATGTCACTGAAAATCAAGGGACTTAAGAATCCAAGTCATTTCTGAAAATGTTACCCATTGTCCTTTGTGACGGGTCAAGGCCAGATGCCTATAGGAAAGAAGTGAGAAACAGGTATGTTAGCCTCAGGCTAAACAAATCCCTGTTACCATGGTAACCAAATGGCAGTTGCTCCAGGTTAATCAAGACACCTGGGGCCAATTAAGTTCCTTCCAGAAAGCAGTGGAGACAGCTAGCTTGATTGGGACACCTGAAGCCAATCAGGGGCTGGCTGAAACTGGTTAAAAACCTCCCAGTTAGTCAGGTGGGTGCATATGTCAGGAGCTGTGGGAGGAAGTTGCGCTGTTGGAGAGACTGAGCAGTACACACCATATCAGACACAAGGAAGGAGGCCCTGAGGTAAGGGTGAAGTGGAGCTTGAGGAAGTGGGGGCTGCTGTGGGGAAGTAGCCCAGGGAATTGTACGTGTCCTGTTTCTAAAAGGTCAGCTACCATAGCTGATACTATTAGGTTCCCTGGGCTGGAGCCCGGAGTAGAGGGTGGGCCCAGGCTCCCCCTTTTGCCCCCCCTGATTAATCACTGAGACTGTGAGACAACAGAGACTGTGCAAGGGAGGATAGTTTCTTCTCACCTCCCTCGCTGGCTTATGATGAAAATGGCTCAGTAGGCTGTGACCCTTGCCTCTAGAGAGAGAATGTCTACATGGAGGGTCACAGTGAGCCTCTGAGGCTAGCAAAATCCACCAGGAAACACGGGACTCACGGAGACAAGGGCAGAGATTTGTCACAACTGGTGTCAGGGTGGGATCATCGTTCACAGCATGGCGGAAGAAGGAGGTTTAAAAAAAACAAAAGTGCACTGGGTTTTGGATTTTGTTTTGTTTGTTTGCTTTGTACCACAATGGAGGAGGTGGTAAGAGCTCTGGTACAAGCCACGGCAGCCCAGCAGGAGGCCACCCGGGTTCAGGCAATGGCGCAACAGGAGTCTATGTGGCTACAGCAGGAAACTAATCAATTATTGATGAGCCAGGTGACTCAAGATCATGCCCTCTTGTGAGAGTTTGTGGACCAGCTGAAGATCCTCACCACCCAGGCCCAGGGGTCCGACAGGACACGAACCCTGAAGGCCACTGGTTGTTTGCCAAAGATAACATCAGAAGATGACGTAGAGGCATATCTCCTCTCATTCAAGAGGACTGCTCAGCATGAGGCGTGGCCCCAGGAGCAGTGGGCCAGCATTCTCGCCTCTTTTTTGTGCGGAGAGGCCCAGAAGGCCTACTTTGACTTGCCTGCCATGGATGCCACTGACTATACCTGGCTGAAGGCAGAGATCCTAGCACGATCAGGGGTGATGGCAGCAGTATGGGCCCAGAGGTTCAATGAATGGAAATACCAGGGGAACAAACCTCTGAGGTCCCAGCTATTCGATCTCCTACACCTCACACGGAAGTGGTTACAGCCTGAGGTGTGCAGCCCAGAGGAGATTTTGGAGACCCTGGTCATGGACCATTACATGCGAGGACTGCCACCAGATCTTCGCAAATGGATAGGCCAGAATGATCCGTTCACCTATGACGAGATGATCATGCTGGTAGAAAGATGCATAACAGCCAGGGAATTGACCTAACTACCCAAGGAAGGCCCCTTTTGAAGCAAGCACTCGACCCCAACCCTGAAAGGTTGGGCAGCCAAATACCTGGGAAGTCCTAAGTGGAAGAAAGGGGGGCTGAAAACCAGCGGGGACCCTTGAAGGAAGGGATTGGCCTGAGTGGGGGGCAACCCTGGGACTATACCCCCTAACCTCTGTGATAGGGGAATGATTAGAAGCAATTATAGATGTTATGCGTGTGGGGAGTGGGGACACATAGCAGCACAGTGACCTAGCACCGAGGAGCCTAGGCATTGTAACTTGGGGGATTGGGAGGTCCCGTGCTCCCTTATCCAACTGGCGGGCGTCCCATCAGTCCTGCATAACTACACCAGGCCAGTGAAGATAAATGGAGCAGAGACACAGTGCTTGTAGACTCTGGGAGTGCTCTCACCCTTATATTGGGTAAGCTGGTAAAAAGTAGCCAGCTGCTATAAGCCAAACACATAGCAGTGATGTGCGTGCATGGGGCCATGAGCCATTACTCCACCATTCCGGTGGAGATAGAGGTTCAGGGAAACCCCATTGAGGTGACAGTGGGCGTAATTCTTAAACTCCCATATCCTGTAGTCATTGGGAGGGACTATCCAGGGTTGATCATTTACTCCCCCCGGAGAGGCTGGAGGAGGAGGGGACCCTGAGGGCAGCGACTCGTCGCCGGGGGAATGTCAACCCCTGATGTTCCCTGAGATTTCTCAGGATCTGTTCTCAGCCCCCCTAAAAGACCCGGAAGACAAAAAAAAGAGAGGAAGGCTGCAAAAGCTTTGGGAACCCGGATCCTGACCCAGGGTCAGAAGACTGCCCTAGTAGGCAGAGGCAGATGGACACAAGCAGCCATTAAAGAAACTACCACCACGGAAGGTGAGCCGGAGGCTGGTCCCAGCCGTGATGGCGGCGAGCCGTTGGAAGAAGCAGAAGCTGGCCCCTGGGAGCTTGGGCAGGTTAGTCCCAGGAGAGAGACTTTCGGGCGGGACCAGGCAGAGGACCCTAGATATGATAATGCCAGGAAAGAGGTGGCCAAGATAGATGGGATACCTATAGATGGGAAGGTCCAGGACCTTACTATATAGTGAAGAAAGATCTCCTGTACCGTGTGGTGCAAATGCAGGGGCAAGAGTTGCAACAACTTCTGGTGCCATGAAAACATCAAAAAGCCATATTTAGCCTATGCAACCCGATACCCAGAAGCCGTCCCCCTACGCAACCTGGCTTCCAAGACAATAGCTAAGGAGCTAGTACAGATCTTTGCCCGGGTTGGACTACCCAAGGAGATATTGACTGATCAAGGGACGTCTTTTGTGTCCAAGTTGATGAAAGATCTCTGTTTGTTGCTCCACGTACAAGCCCTACGGACCTCTGTATACCACCCGCAAACAGATGGCCTAGTGGAAAGGTTCAATAGGACCCTCAAGGCCATGATCAGGAAAGTGGTGAGCCAGGATGGGAAAGATTGGGATACCCTATTGCCTTACCTCATGTTCGCCATCTGGGAGGTTCCTCAAGCCTCCACAGGTTACTTCCGTTGGAACTACTATACAGGTCCCACCCCTGGGGCATATTGGATATAGCCAGAGAAGCCTGGGAAGAGGAGCCAAATCCCGGAAGGAACATAGTCAAGCATGTACTGCAGATGAGGTATTGGATAGCCCGAGTTACGCCCATTGTACGGGAACACTTGGAGAAAGCACAGGAGACCCAATGAACCCATTATAACCACCAAGCAAAGCTTCAACGGTTCGAACCAGGGGATCGAGTGATGGTCCTGGTGTCCACGGCAGAAAGTAAACTGTTGGCTTAGTGGCAGGGACTCTACGAAGTGATCAAAGCCATGGGAGAGGTGAACTATAAGGTGCGGCAGCCAGGCCGCAGGAAACTGGAGCAAATTTACCACATCAATCTTCTAAAACCTTGGCACGATCGAGAGGCATGCTTAGTCACCCAGGAGACCTTTCCCCAGGAGGATAATTTACACGAGCAAGTGAGGATATCACCCGACTTGACGCCAATCCAAAAGATCGAGGCAGCTGACCTGATTAATCGCAACTGAGATGAGCGGAGGGTCACAGTGAGCCTCTGAGGCTAGTGAAATCCGCCAGGAAATGCGGGACCCACAGAGACAAGGACAGAGATTTGTCACAACTTATAGTGAATGGAACATAGACAATAAGGGGTGATTTCCCTATTGGCAATCCTGTGACGCTGGATTCTTAGTGGTACTTTGCCATCATCTAAGTATCTTCTCCACTGTGACCTAGGATACCTTGCATATTCCCTCTGTAAAACCTGCTCTCTGTATTACTAATTTTCCCCATGATTCCTCTGGGACAGAAGAGAAGTTGTTTCACTGATTTCTGTCAGCTAACATGAAGAACATCTTGTGGTTTCTGATTATTTGGCTGATAAGCTGATGAAACCAGAGAATCATCACTGTTAGTTTACACACACACAGCTCTTGCTCCAATTGTTGCTGTACCTGGGCATTGTGGCATCAGTTCTTGGTACCGCTCCCAAAAGCAGGTGCTGATTAGACCTGAACGGTTCTTTGGATTAAGTCCTATGGATTCCCCAGGCCCTGCCACTGTCTTGGGTTCCACTGATATTTTATATTTATACATATATATGTGTGTGTGTGTATATACACACACACACACACACACACACTCGGCTCCCTGACTACTTAGCTCGTCAGCTATTCTTTCAGACATGCTTCCCTCAGAGGCTCCATATAGTTTTCAGTTTGACAAATGAACATGGATAGCTACCTCTTCCTTATATTTTCTACCCAATTTGCCTAACATCTGGCTCTGACCTGCAGAAAGCACCTCCTTTGTGCAGAGTTGGGCAGGACAGCTAGGGAGACTCCTGTGACCTAACTTTACTGTTCGGGAGCTCTGAAGTCTGCCTCCTGTCTATTGATTATGCATTTTTGGAAATGCATCCAGCACACTCAGTTGTGCAGGACACAACCCTAAAGGGCCAGTAACCTGTTGCATGAACAAAAAGCTATTTTTCATTCAAAAATAACCTTTAGATTTCTAAAACAAATTTTCATGGGAAATTGTTGACACGATCTAATCATTCTCATTTTTTGTATGAAAATCTCATGCTTTATTCTGCTGGGAGGGTTTAAAAATTTTAATTGAAAGCATTTTGGCAAATATTTTTAAACAGTTGTTAATGTCAAATTTTAACTGAAAACCAGGTTTTTGGCAAGGGAAAGTTTTGAAAAGATGCTTTTGGAGGAGGGGTGACTTGCTAAAAAAAATTCACAAAACCCTTCAAAAAGATGAAAAAGGGTTAGTTTAGAATATTTTGACTTTTTTAAAGAATAGACTTTTTTTTTTTAATCCGATCTTATTTGCATTAAGAAATGACTTCCTTCTGGACTGTCAATGCACTTAATATTAAATCTCCTTAAAATGTGAGTCCCTTTCCCTGGAACATTCTAAAAAAGTGGTGAATGGGCAGTATTATCTGGGTTTTCTTCCTTGATATCATTCTTTTGAAAGAAGCTTTGGCTTATCTAGGTGAAGTAGTTGTCAGAGAGAGCTTCAAGGTAGGGAATGTTACAATCCAGCAAGCTAACATATTAGTCCATTGCCAGGCATCCTATTCAGAAAAAGAAAAGTAAACTCCAAGTATACAGGAATTCAAGAGCTTCCAAAGGAGCATTCCACTACATTCGCCTTAGTCTTATTAACACAAAACAGCTAATAAAATCCGGCACTTTAATAAGGTTGGGTGTAAAAAGACTGTTCCACTGTTCAAATAATTGAAAACCAGACTTTTTAGATCTTTGATGAGCAACAAGTTAAACAGTTAGCTGGCCAGGAAAGAGGGGGGTTTTTTTGTTCTTTTTTTTTCTGATCCATGTAAAATGCTAATTAAAAGGAGTACAAAGGCACAGCAGCTCTGAGGAAGAAGTATAAGCACAGTGTAATCTGGCAAATGAAAATCATTGGTTGTGTTAAGATCTCAATTACCTGGTGTATTCAGCGCTGTTAGAAAGGTATCACCAAATGCTAGGAAACATTATGCTAGTTTAACTGAAAGCATCTATACAATAAGACAAAACTAATCAATCTTTCCTATGTTGTTTTGTGCAGCCTTTACTACTCCTGAAGTCAGATATCTCCCCGGAATGCAGCTTCTGGCTTCAGGGACCATGCAACGTTGAGCTCAGCAATCTCTGACCTGTCAATTTGTCTTGAGTGCTGGGTCCTTTGACTTCTGCTAAATGTCCACTGATCCTGAGCTATGTGAGTGCCATTTAAAAAGTAATGTATCCATAGGTCATTCCATGTTAGGCAAAGCTTATGGGGGTGGCAGAGGGGTACAGGAAGATGCTTTTAAACCCCATTGTGCTTCCTGAAGCCAGCTGGAGACCAGTCTGGACCCTGGCATAATGTAATGCAACCTCAAGGCTGCTTTAAGTTGTACCTGGCTGCCAGTTGTACCTGTCAATTGCCAACAGCCCCCAGAAGCTATGCAGGCACATCTCCTTTCCCCTGCCCTTTACAAGACCAGAGCAGGTATGGGGGAAGAGAAGGCCTGTTGGCTGGAAGGACAGAGGGCTGAGTAGTGGGAAAGGTTGGACTAGCTTGATCAGCAGCCAAATGTTTAACCTTTTGTGAGGTTCCTCCAACACCAGATGGTTTGTTTTATTCTGGTAAGGTTCGCTTACTCTGTGCTTTTCAGTAGCAGTTGGCTCTTTTGATGCTGGTGTTTTGTATGCTTATTATTTCATTTTCTGTGTAGTCACTGTGTACAGTTTCTAAGAATTGATACTGCTTTGGGTACAGCGTGTCTGCCCATAATTCTGGCATAAAATCACCACCTCCTCAACTGGCTTCCTTCTTGAGACCCCTCCACCCCCCTGCACTGGGAGGAAGGACCGGAAGAGGAGCTCTCAGTGGCAGGACCAGTTGGAGGGTCAAAGAAAAGTCTACTATGGGCTATGCTTCCGAGGAGGTGCCCACATAGGCTGCCCGGGACTGTGGCAGCAGTCAGAGCACCTGCCTCTCTAGCTGCATAACTGCACAATAAGAAGACTGCATGGACTGGAGTCTCCAACTGAACAGCCACAGCTTACAGTTCCTCCAGGATTCATTCACAGTTCACTGGTGCCCAGTGATGCAGAGTGAGAGCAGCTACTGTAGTTTGGTCACTTCATGTTCCTAGTCAATAAAAAGAGCTGGCTTCTGCTACCTGTCAGCCTCTTGCATCTGCTGATGTTTTGGTGTCTTAGCTCAGCTTTCCATGCTAACTAGAACATGGGGTGAAGGACATGCAAGAGGTTTTCATGCTGCTCCTGGAGGCAGACCCAGCATGCATAAGCTCCTGGCTGGTTCTGTCCTCACTTGGCCTGTGTGTAATGAGTGAGAATATACAGTGGACACTTACCATCTCCATAAACTCATAGACTTTAAGGTCAGAAGGGACCATTATGATCTTCTAGTCTGACCTCCTGCACAATGCAGGCCACAGAATCTCACCCACCCACTCCTGTAACAAACCCCTGACCTATGTCTGAGCTATTGAAATCCTCCATTTATGGTTTAAAGACTTCAAGGTGCAGAGAATCCTCCAGCAAGCGACCTGTGCCCTACGCTGCAGAGGAAGGCGAAAAACTGCCCTGGAGGAAAATTCCTTCCCGATCCCAAATATGGCGATCAGCTAAACCCTGAGCATGTGGGCAAGACTCACCAGCCAGACACCCAGGAAAGAATTCTCCAAATGTATTATTTCACATTCTAAGCACAAAGAATACTGTAAATCATACAGAAAAGGTGAATTCTGTGGTGCTCTAAGTTCATTTTGTAGTAGCACCCCCTGTATATAATATATTGTAAGTGTGTGTGATTGGCTTTACAAAGCAAGATATCTGCCATGATACTGGCAGGTGATGATTTCGGTGGACAATATGTCAGCAGCCTGAATTCCAAGCCAGAAGTGGATCTCACAACTTGATGTGCAGAAAAACTGGGTGCTTAATTTCACTAGAAGTGACATTTCAAGGAGACACAAACTTATTAAGATGACACAGTTAAATAAATAAATAACTAATTAGATAAATAAATCAATTGGTTCAATTGGAATATGTTGTAAATAAAAAGCTCCATATGGTATTTATCTTATTCCAAGCCAAATTGTGGCTTTAATCTGCTCTGGACAAGGGCTGTGCCTCATGCAGGCCAGTTTATTCCCATCTCTCTTTTTTTCTCCGGGGTATTAAAAATCTTCTTCTAGTGCTAAGGAATAGCAGATGATTAATTCCACCCTGATGGCCAGTTTTCAGGAGATGAAGCCAAGGTCCTGAACGTGGGTTAACGTATGGGAGCACAGAGGGATTGCATCTCCTCCTTCTCTCCCTGGATTAAGAAAGCAACACTCCCACCTCCTCCTCCCGTGGTGCTGGTCCTCCTCCATCTCGTTTCAGTATATGACTGGCCTCGTTCACCTGCTTGACAGGGGTAGTGGGCGCTGTGGAGGGGTTTCTCCTAATGCACCTGCTCCAAGAAAGCCATACAGGAGAATGGAGAGTGTGTGTGTGTGTGTACACACTTCAGAAGACCACATTGCAGGAGGACTTTACTACCCAGTGAATGAGGCAGGGATGTGGGGATCACATCCTTCACTATGTCATTTCCTGAGTCGAGTGCTACATTTTGCAACCCTGCCATCCTTGAATGTAGTGTTTTAATATAATGTGGACCAGCTCGCTATGAGCTACCTTTGACATACAGTAACTTTTTTTTTTTTAAACAAAGGAAAGCTAATATCAGAATATGGCATTGCCTACCAATATTTAGCACCAGCGAGTCTGATGAAAAGGATAAAGGAGCTGTTATGAAGTTGCAGATTTAATTCATCATGGAAAGGTTTGCTGTCCCTGCTCTAACCTGAGTAACTGGCAGCAGCTCCAAGACATTTTCTGTGAGTGAAATAAATGCAATGGCACCTCGCTAGTAAGCGCCAAGAAAATATGATCCTGTTATGACTCCTCTTAGCCTTGGGAAAGGAGTGCTAATAGTCGTTTAATTGCTGCTGCTGTTAAAAAGCCATTCTTCCTGTAGTATATAAATTTATATGGTGTTACCAAATAGGGATTTATAACTGAATGAGATTTACACTAGGATTGTAAGGTATTTGGGGCAGGACACCCTCTCTATGATATGTTTGTACAATGCCTAACACAATGGGGTCGTGGCCTCTAGGTATTACCACAATACCAACAATAATTGTGTTTAACTACTTTCTCCAGGATTTTATCTATAATTGTTTAATTAGATCTTTTCAAGAAGTTCTGCCTTTGGAAGGCTGTATGGACGACTGAGCCTACCAAATGGTCATATCACATTGCTAAGGTTGACACATGCTTTTAAATTTAAAAAGCAAAAGCAAACCTTGGGGAAAGAATTGTGAATAGGAGGCTACAGCTAACATAAGGGAAAAAATGAGTGCAAACTTTCTTCTGATCATCTCCTAAATGATGAGCAAGTTGATGTCAGAATCCATTGTTAATTACAAGCTTTTTTTCCTCCTGCCTGATGCCCAGTGATTGCAGTTTAAAATGAAAATGATTGGATTAGACATACTTCAGCACATCCATAAATCCCATTTTACCTTTAAAGTGCAGATTAGATGCTAACCACAGACAGTAGGTCACTGGAAATACTGAAAAGGCTGCCCCCTTTCCCTCTTCTCGCCCCTTACCCCATTCTGCACTCTTTGACAAAAACTGTATTGCAGTAACTTAAAAATATATAAACAAAATCCATAGCATATGCAGAGATTTGAGAGACCTACCTTGAACCTAATATGCTAGGAAAGACTTCACACTGATTTTATTTCTTAAAATTCATCTTGTCGGGTAAATTCCCAGAGCCATATTACATCTCCATTCCAAAGGTATTTGGGAAAAAGAATTCTTTATTATTTTGAAAACAGAAGACTGGCTATTTTCCCCTCTTTATTTCTTAATGTCCAAACATTCATAACACTCTGTG